GATATGCACATTTGTATTCAGACATAGTTAGATGAAGATAATTAGTGGTTTATTGCAGACATTAACTATTATAAATACAGCTCTACTTTTTATTTTAATCAAGTACTCGCTTCTTCTTACCGTCTTCCTCTGCACGTACGAGTGTACGTGAAGTTACGAGGCACCGCCTTATTCTGTCATCAGAATAAGTAGCTTGTACTGTCATCAGTACAAGCTTCAGGGTGCCCCGTTACACCTGGTAGCACTTCGTAGTCCGTCTAAGGACCACGTTCACATCTAACATGAATATGTTGGATGATGAAGATGACCAAAGCTTTCACGCTACGCGTGACGGCTACTTCCATTTGAGCGATGTCGAATGGGATGCGGTTGAACGGATGGGTTCAACCATGGGCATCCATGCTGTTAGCGTCATGCTAGAGGCTCTCAATAGAGATGCCCAACATGCTACTATCGCCAAGTTCATTCAAAATGAACTTGACGCTGAACGCGAGAAAGTAGCCTTGCTTCACCAACAAGGTTCTCAACAAGCAGAGTTGTTGAGAGAACAGGGTGCTCAACAGTTTGAACTGTTGAGACAGCAGCAGGCTGCTGCTGGTGGGTCAATGCACTCGCGTCGACCCGATACTTTGAAGATTGACATCTCTAAGTATACGGAAGTCGAAGAGGTCTCCCTCTTGAGATGTTTTGTAGAATTAGACGACGCCATAAGGGCGCGTCGCATCGACGACGGGGAAATGCAAGTTGCATTTGCCCAATCCAATCTGGCAGGACGTGCCAAGACTTGGGCTTTGGGACTCAAGTTGCACGACCCATATGCGTTTGGGTCGTTGGAAATCTTCAAGTCGCGGCTCAGACAAACGTTTGAACCGCCTAGAGCTGAGTTCAGAGCTCGAGCTGAACTCTTGAAGCTCAAGCAGGGTAAGCGTGATGTGCACGCTTACGCTCAACATAAACGACATCTCACGAGTTGTATAAGTTCCAATCCGGTGGATGAACACACGTTGGTTTCGGTGTTCATGCAGGGTCTTGCGGATGGTCCCGTCAAGACTCACCTGTTCCGGCTTGAACTAGATTCACTAGAACAAGCCATTTCCATTGCGGAGCAGGAATACTTCAGTCTGAGACAGGCTCCCGCCAGCTCGACATCATATCATCAACCGAGACGATATGACAACGGAGGTCCAGAGCCGATGGAACTCTGTCATGTAGAGAGCGAGAAGGCTCGCTCTACAGGCTACAAGAAGTTGCAGAGATGCAACAGATGTCAAAAGACGGGACAATACGCTTACGAGTGTAGTGCCCCTCGTCCAGTGTCTCGCAACACTGGGCGTAGTGACCGTCCACCCATGAGAAAGGGGCAGGGACGCGGGTCCGCAGTTGGTGCAAAGACGCAACAACGGGATGGACCGTCAAAAACGGACAGGATCAGTAGGTGCGGAGCACCCTACTGGTCCATCAACGTCAAGAGAATTTGTAGGCCTCTTGATGAAGGTTGCTCCCAACACACAAACGTTGTGCGTTGCTGCTCTAGGTAATGAGATCTCACTCATTACCTTGAAACTCGAAGTGACGAATAAGTTGTCCCTTCGAGCTCTAGTCGATTGTGGGGCGTCCAACAATTTTGTGCAACGCCAATCGCTAGAAGATGGGCTCTTTAAATGCAGTGAATGTGACACACCTCCTACGGGGATGACGGTACGTCTTGCGACAGGCGCATCCGTAACCGTCATGAAGCGTATAGTGAAGATCCACTATACGCTAGAAGATACCTAATATGACGATGACTTTATCGTATTGGATTTGGATGACAAATTTGATGTCATCTTTGGAATACCGTGGCTCAGAAGGTACGAACCACGAGTAAACTGGCAACATCGAACAGTGACGATGCCTGCCGCTTGTTCATCAGATGGCCATCTGATGAACGTTTTGGAGCGTCAACAAGCTTGTGGACGTACTACGAGTGAGTGCGATGGCCTTACTTGTGGTAAGGTCGTTAGTACGACTGCACAAAACCTTAGTGTACCAAACGGTTACACTTCGGAGCAAAGTTCCGGCGGCTGTGAGGAAACACAGGCTGCGCCGAAGGTCCACCGCTCGAATAAGTCGGGTGGACTGGGACAAAGATGTATCCCTAGCGGGGAACATCTAGAAGAGAAACAATCGATCGCTCAGGTTAAGCGAAACGATAATCCTAGATCGACTGGAGAGTCTTTCGTAGAGGATCTTGCTGTGGTTGCGCAACCACAGCTAGAGGAAGTAAAGGGAATAAGTCCCAAGATTACAGATACGGCGGAAATAAGTTCCCCGAAACCCGCGGGAATAAGTCCCCGGGAAGCCGAAGGAATAAGTCCTTCGAAGCCTGAGGGAATAAGTCCCCAGGAAATGACAGAGACATTGAATGTCAAAGTCAATAACGGATCAAGTGTAGGCGCTTATACGCTTGATCTGATTGCGCCTCCAAAGTTGGCTTCGGAGATCTTCCAGTTGCCAACGCTCGAACATAAAAGGTTCTTGCGTGATCTGCGTAGTGGCAAAGTCAAGCAGATCTGCATGCTCGTCGCTGACGACGAGTGTGTAGCCGACATAAGGTCAGCAACAGTGTTTACTGAGAACGAGAGAGTTCTCAGTAGTTCATCTATGGACGAGAGTGTCCTAGATGAAAAGACACGAATTGAGCGATATGACTCACAATCGTGGGAATCGCTCAAGAAAATCCTTTCTATGAAGATTTGGTTGAATTCAAGGATGTATTCCCTGAAACTGTTCCGTGCGAATTACCGAAGGATAGAGGTACTCGACACGAGGTCGAGCTTAAACCAGGCTCGAAGTACTGTGTCATGAAGCAGTGGCCACTGCCTCGTGAACAAGTACTTGCGATCGACAAGTTCTTTGCCTATCGTTTAGCTGCGGGCCATGTGAGGGAATCAACTTCCCCACATAGCTCTCCGACCTTCTGTGTGCGAAAAGCTACAGGAGGGTGGCGGATAGTGCACGCGTTCAACAAATTGAATGCTGCAACGGTACCGGCTCAAAAGCCGATACCAAGGAAGGACGTAATCATCGATAATATGTCAAAGAGTACCATCTTTTCGTCCATGGATTTGATGGACGGCTTCCATCAAATCCTTATGCGGGAACGGGATATACCCTATACCGCAGTTAGCACGCCTAGCGGCATGCTCTGGGAATGGCTAGTAATGCCACAAGGGCTTAGTAATGCCCCTGCCACGTTCAACAGATGTGTGTCACATCTGTTGAGACCAGTACGAGAATTCGCGCCGAGTTATTTCGATGACGTATTCATCCATAGTCGAGCTATGGATGGAAAGTCGGACGTTGAGGTTCACAGGTACCACGTCCGACAGGTTCTTACAATCATGCGAAAGCATCAATTGTGTGCCAACCTCAAGAAGTGTATATTTGCAGCAAGCGAAATACCACTTCTTGGGTGCATCGTTGGTAAGAACGGTGTACGTCCTGATCCCGAAAAGATCAAGGCGATCACCTACTGGCCTGTGCCGGTTGATGTCAAAGGTCTTCGAAAATTCCTTGGGCTAGCGGCGTATTTGCATAAGTATTCACGCAATTACGCCGAAATGACTGTGCACCTCTCTCGTTTGTTGAAAAAGAACGAGAGGTGGTTATGGAACGCTGAATGTCAGCGCTCCTTTGATGGTATCAAGCAGAGCTTGATACAATCCCCAGTCCTAGCAATTGCCGATCAGGACAGGCCATTTCATGTGGTCTGTGATGCCAGCGATTTTGCAATCGGCTGTGCATTAACGCAGTGCGATCTTGAAGGCGTTGAACGCGTCGTCTGCTACCAGTCGCGTCAGCTGCAACCAGCTGAGCGGAACTATCCAGTGCATGACAAGAAACGCCTTGCCATGAAGTATGCACTCGCAAAGTTCAGAGTCCATCTATTAGGAGATAGACCCTTCATTGTTTACGCAGACCATGCGTCGTTGCGCACGGCAGTAAACAGCCCGCACCTTTCACAACGAATGGCGCGGTGGTTGTCATTCTTTGCAGAATACAACTTTACGGTCGAGTACAAACCAGGACGACTTAATGTCGTCGCTGATGCACTCTCACGTCGTCCCGACTTTGAACCAGTCGTAAGACCCAACAGTGAGACAGCCACTGTTGCGGTTATGACGTCCTCAGTACCATCTTCAACGTTGCATGATGATGTGAGGCGGGCATACGCCCAAGATGGTGAGATTGTGAAGTTGTTGACACATCTCTCACAGCCATCTCGAGAATCGTTGAAACGATTGTCGCCTGCATATCGATCTGCATCAGATCGATACACTACTCGCAACGGGTTACTGTATTATACAGCCGTTACTGGTGACACACCACGTGTTGTCATTCCAGATGATACTGGTCTGCGTTTGCGGATCATGTTCGAGTATCACGATGCTCCTATAGGAGTACATCGTGGCCGAGAGAAAACATATCTCACGGTAAGTCGAGACTTTTACTGGCCCCGCCAGTATCGGTTTGTGCGAAAGTATGTTCGCGCATGCGAAGTCCGCCAACGAGTGAAGTCAAGTCCTTCACTGCGTGCACCTTAACAGCCTCTACCGGTTCCGGCTGAGTGCTGGGAATCTATCTCAATGGATTTTGTCTTCGAGTTACCCAAAGACGCACGCGGGAATACGGGTATTCTCGTATTTGTTGACAGATTCAGCAAAATGGTACACCTTGTGGCTGTACCAGAGTCAATCAGAGCAAGTGGCTGTGCTTGTGTCTTTATTGACACCATCTTCCGACTTCATGGGTTGCCCCGTGAACTCGTATCAGACAGAGATCCACGATTCACTGCTGATTTCTGGCGTTCCGTGTTCAAATCACTCGGAACGCGCTTGAAGATGTCAACATCTGATCATCCAGAGTCAGATGGTCAGACGGAACGTGCCAATCGTGTCCTTGAAGAGATACTTCGAGGATACGTACACTCCTTTAAGAGTTGGAGTGAGTTTTTGCCAATGGTAGAGTTTGCCATTAACAACTCGGTGCATGCGTCCACGACACATACACCGTTTTACGAGAATGTCTTACGCCATCCGCGTGTACCCACCTTACTAGAGTGTAACTCTGGTTTAAGGGGGGGAGGGACTCGCGCGAGCAAAAACCGATTTGGTTCACGCTCATCACGCTCTGACGAAGAAGTCATTGTCTTTAATGCCGATATCGATAACATCGATATTGAAGAAGATGATGCCAGTGAGAGTGCGGAAGCCCTCACTGAAGAAGATGATCCCAGTGAGAGTGTGGAAGCCCTCACTGAAGAAAATGTTGATGTTGCTGCAGTGCGCTCACAGCGCACTGAAGCTAACGAGTCATTAGATGAGTTCACACTGGCTCGTGAAACGGTAGTCCGTTTTGTGCAAGATTCCATCGCCGAAGCGGTGGATAAGCAAAAGCAAAACGCTGACAAGAATGGAAGGGCAAAAACACTCTTTTATTTAATAAAGGTGACTTAGTCCTACTGTCTACGGTTAATCTACCACAGCATGCAGTGACTAACTTGGGTAGCAATAAACTACTACCCAAGTACAGCGGCCCATTTCGTGTATTGCACCGCCTAGGCAATGCACACACGATCGAGTTACCACGTAAGATGCGAACGCATCCCACGTTTTACGTTGGTCGGCTTAAGCCGTACCATCAGTACGCTGCTTCTTCCGATGAAGAACGCCCTTGCGCTCAAGCATCTCGCAGAGAGCCTTGTGCTCCCGATGGTGGGCATCAACAAGGGTCTGAAGAGCATTCATCTCATCCCGAGACCGATCAACAATCCCACGAGCTACCCTTAGCTCGTCACGAAGAGATGTCAGAGATCTCTCGTTCTCGAGCTGAGCAAAGGCAAACTCAGCTCGATGCTTCAAGGCAGTGTCCGCCATTTGGAGACGCCTATTCCGCTCATGTTCGAGATCGTCGCGTAACCCTTGCGTTACGCGATCAAAGAAGCTCTCGGGAACACACGCTTCCCCACGATCGTGTGGAGAGCGTCTTTCCTCCTCCTCCACCTCCATTAGAGGACTCTCGTGGTGGCCAGCGCTATCTAGTTGAGCAGCTGTTGAACCGCCGCGACGTGAACGGACGTCGGACGAGTTATCTCGTCCGGTGGCGCGGCTATCCCCCGTCCTGGGATACTTGGGAGCCCCGCTCCCAACTGATGGTTAACGTACTGGGTCTGGTTGAGCAGTACGACGTGGCACATCCTGTGCCGCAGAAGGACCGCCGGAGAAAGTCTTCCCGGCACGGTCTTAAAGGGATTTCAAGTTGTCAATCCCTTCGTACATCTCACTAGAGATACGTACGCGCCACCACGGGCTATTAGTGAGGTAAGCCTCCTTAGGTGCTCGTGCAGAGTTGTTCACACAACACGGGCACGAGTCTCCCCATGAGAGACAGGGTAATCCTTTCTCCCTTGACAGACGATGCAGCTTGTAGCGTGCACCTGTCGGGGTTCGCTTTTCAATCTTATCGCGAGCTTTGATAAGTTTGTCGTTCCAAACGTCACGACCTACATCCTCAAGGTTATGGATGTAAGCGTTCCACGCTTGAAGCAGTGAGGGACCATCACGTTTGTGATTCCCACTGTACCATCGATGTTTAAAGAAAGCATCGATGAAGAAATAATGTTCAGCGCGATAGATTTTCGCACTGGGGTCAAGGTGATAAATCCTTGACGAATCGAACAATCGTGTTCGATAACGATCACTCGTAGTCGCCGATAAGTGATCCGTGACTAATTTGGGAGGCATCCATGCCTTCTTCTCGGGAGCGAGACGCAAGACATTGCGGTCCCGCTCTTCCTGCGACGTGCCGACAGAAGTACTGGCACCTCGCTTTGAAGTGGTGTCCATAGGAGAACCGACACCACTATTAGCGCCCGAGTCTCGCGACCTCGAGCGCCTTCGCTTCGGCGATGGTTCATCTGATTCATCAGATGAACCAAAGATGCTGCGACGCAAAGCATCGTCCATGCCACGCTTGGCAGGCGGCTTAGATTCAATCGCCGTCGATACGGATCCGTCTTCCGTATCAGGAGAGTACGAGACACCGAGCTCATACTCTGTGAAGACAAGAGTGTCTTCATGACGAGCGCCTGCATCACCAGGTGACACAGGCTGAGTCGCTTCAGTAACCGATGAGACATCAGTTGCTGTAGTTTCTGCTTCGGCGTCCGCACAGAGACGTGCGGACGCGCTCTCGGCGGCCTTGCTCGCGCATCGCATGGGCTTGTTAACCATGCGATGAAATGTTGGGAAGTGGACTCGGACCAACAAGTGCAAACCCCGTCCCAAATGATTTGGGACGAGTATCCATTTAGTCAAACAACCACTAAAGTGACTGATGGTTAAGGGGGGGGGTGTAATGGGGTGAATCGTTACATCACAATTTATAAGAAACTGTTAATAGAATATAACTATAAGAGTTATATTCTCGGAATATTGTCATAAGGACAAATATTCTGTAGCACTTACGAGTAGTTCCTAATTGGCTGATATAGGCCATTATATCAACCAACGAAGACGCGCCACCACAGACGCACGCAATGAGTGGTGAGCAGATAGTTGATTTACACATTTGTATTTAGACATAGTTAGATGAAGATAATTAGTGGTTTATTAACAGACATTAACTATTATCAATACAGTTCTACTTTTTGCTTTAACCAAGTACTCGCTTCTTCTTACCGTCTTCCTCTGCACGTACGAGTGTACGTGAAGTTACGAGGCACCGCCTTATTCTGTCATCAGAATAAGTAGCTTGTACTGTCACCAGTACAAGCTTCAGGGTGCCCCGTTACAGAAGCTGTAAAACTTGTTAACTCGTTAGTTCTTTGGAACTAAGTTGCTCGTAGAGCGTTAAGTCTTCCTCTGAGGAGCAGTGTAGCTTCGCTACACACCTTTTGGTGTCAATATCATGTAACGGGCACCCCGTTTCCTTTGTACTGTGACAGTTGAAGCGACCGGTGCCCCGTTGCAGTTAAAGCACAAAGCAGCAGATCATAAGTGTAGCTTTTGACTTACCCACACTCGCAATGGAGTAGTAGTCGATGACCCATATACAATCGTGCTGGTGCGACCGCATGATATCTTGATAGCGGATGCATCCAAAACAAACCGTTCCAAACTTGGGTCCGATTATAATTTTCACGCTTCTGCAATGCACAATCGCACATCAACTGGACCAAAATAAAGCGGCGAGCTAAATTTGGTCCGGTAAAAAGCGTAAGCAAAACTTGTTTTATTTAGTGTCATTTTCTGCTCAATTTGTCTGTAAGATTCTATATTCTTATGTTGCCCCGTTCTCGACTTTGCGAGCGCAATGTTATGTTGCGGAAGAACGCCATAGCCATTTTCCGATTGCGTTGTGAGAGTCGGTCCAGTGCGTTCGAACTTTGACTGGTCAACAATGAGCAGAGCTAGCGAAAGCGATACCGAACCGCTGGCTTTATCCGGCGCAGCGCTCGCAGCTCTACAGGAATTCGCCGTTGAGCGTGGTATCATCGTCGAAAAGAGCTCAGCCGACACGCGCTTAGACATTCAAAAAGCGCTGGACATTGAGCCAAAAGAAGACTCGTTTGAATTCAAATTTGGCTCGACCGAGAATGGAGGCGAAGCTGCTCCGATTGTTGTTCGCCTCAATGGGCTGCGGCGCGACATCGGACAGACGCTACAGTCAACGGGTCTAACGCTTTGGCGTGCAGGCGACTTTCTGAGCACGTACATGTACGAGCATCGCGGCCGGTTTGCTGGAAAATCGGTCATTGAGCTCGGCAGTGGACTCGGACTTATCGGCATTTTAGCATCGTATCTTACGGACCAACAAGTGGTGATCACCGACGGTGATGATGACACGATTGAGTTGCTGGTTGCAAACTGCCAGCTCAACAAAGTGGAGGAGAGAGTGCAATGCCGCAAGTTGCTGTGGGGCGTTGACTTGGATCACGTGAACGATAAGTTCGACATTGTTCTTGGCGCCGATGTCATCTACGAGCAAGAGCATGTGGCGTCACTGTTTGAAACGGCTAAACACTTGCTAAAACCTGGCCGTTGTAGTGTGGACGGCAGTTGCAAAGCTGCATCTGAATTCTTGCTTGCATACACGAAGCGAAATGTCTCGATCGACTATGTCCTGGAGACTGCGAAGAGCTTTGGCTTTGAGTGGGAGGAGCCTCTGACGGACGAAGGTGTATACACATTTAGGTTAGTGTAAGTTGCTAGCATTTGACCGGAGACAATTGAACTTCGAGGTGATTTTGTCTGGACAAGTGCGACCTTTACCGTTTATGCGTGCTGACGTTGCCAGTAGGCGCAGCTGGTCGGGATGGATCTAGTGACGAGTACTTCTTACTGAACTCTCGTAGGATCTCGTGCTGGCTCGTGTTGAGACGGACGTGGGGTCGCTTGGTCATCACCACCTCGAAGGCTTCGTCGAGTGTCATCTGGCGATATTGAACGAGGAATGCCACGACGACCACTGCGCTTCGGCCACGTCCCGCTTTGCAATGCACGTAGGTTGTGTTCTGCTGCACGTCAACCTGGTCATGAAGAAAAAGCACACACCTGTGCGCGATCAGCGTTAGCACTCGGCCACGTTACAAGACCACGTTTTTACTTGGCACCAACTTTTCGATGGTATCCAACGCTGGGGAGGAGAAGTCTTCAGTCGAGCCAAAGCATTGAGCAACGTGCTCGCTCGCCCACTCGGCTTGACAGTAGCAGAGAAAACACACAGACGCAACATCGATATAAGCCGAGCCATCTCTTTTACTTGCTGCGTGTCCATGATTGTACCAGGGGACACCGGAGTCGACAGGAAATTCGGTAGGAGCTCCACGGGCTGGTTCATGGTCACCGCTGCTTTCACGCCCTCATGTTGCACCAACTGTGTGCATAATATCGCCATGATTAGCACCACTACCGATACAAAACTGCACTGGACCATCTCACCAGATTCAAGTGGTCCTTGTCTTGTAGAGGCAGCGCACCGAGGATCAACCTTGGCTCAATGTGACTCCACCATGGACGGCGTTGCTCGTGTTCTAGCACCAAGTTGTACAGCAGCGACACATGGAAGACCTGTATGACAACAACAATTCAGTTAATCGAAATTGACCCGACACACAAGACATCTAGTAGCAGTCCTTACTCACCACGCCGCAATTGCGTTGGCTCATGTGAATGCAAGTACTCGAACTGTCTGCACTATGAAGCTTGAGTTCACCTGGATAGTCGTACTATGGCCGGTACCGACAAAAGATGTCAGTAGATAGGACCTGAAATACTTCTAAAGCGACAACAGCAGCGATCGTATGATATAAATAGACAGATTTATCCAGTCAGTCGTTGCTATAGAGCATGGAGACATTTCGTGAGGTCATAGACCTCAAGACTAGCTCGTCGAATTCGAATTAATAGCACTCTCACCACAACATTATCGTCGCCTGTCGCGTACCGCCTATCAACTTCAGACATTTGTGCTGAGTTGTTGCAGTTGAGACGCTGCTAAAAGATGCAGGCAAATCGCACCTTTCTTTCCCCATACACTTGATCGTACGTCTGAGCAAATTGGTCCATTTTACCGCGTGTGTGTGCCTTGTGTCACGTCGCCGAACGTCGTCACGTCGCCGAACGTCTCAATGAGGCGACAACAACGTTCATCCAAGTGCACCGTCCTAACAAACTCTTCATGAATTTATTAAATAGACAATTTTCCTGAAGTCATCTTCCGTTTGTCGCTATAGGAAGGAAGATAGGTTTGCTTGAAGCTCGATGGACTGTTGTTGGACACTGCAGATAAAAACGACCTATGCTTTACACTAATCCCATCCGATAGCTCGTTATGTAGCGTTGAAGATGCTGGGAACGACAGTACCGACCGTACTCCTTTGTTTAGATCTCTACTCAAACCTATTTGACGTCAGCATCTAAATTTCGAAAGTTGCGAAGTCGAAGACAGCAGCTTGATCCTTACGTGAGGCAGAATGACCAGTGATGACGTGGTTAGCACGACGGCTTTAATCCGAGCATTAGATTTGTGCTGTACAACGTGCTCATCATGTCGAGAAACCGATCGAAAGCCCCTGTATCGCAAGCGAATGAATGCTCTGTCAATGGAGACGCCTGGGAGAGAAACACTGACCGTGACGCCTTGAGTTACTTGGACGTTGCCTCCGGCAATCGCTCAAGTCTTCAGTATCGACTTCTGTGTATTCAAATCATGTCGTCTTATTTTTTAGGCAAAAGACAAAGCTTTGACAACGGAGTGATACCAAAGCCTTTGCAACAACTCGATTGGAAATGCTGGTATGCACATTGGCATGGTGTTCTAGCAGCTGGTACAGCTAATGCTCGCGACCAGCGCACGTTACGACAGAGTCCGAAATATGGTCTGAACACACCGTGTTTCGCTACTATAGAGCATGAAGGAATCAGGCGAGGAACCCAGCAGCAGTTGCAAAAAATACAGCAGCAGTTAGTGGCTTGGATGCAACGAATGCACAAGCGAACTAAGGACCTCAATCAATCAAACTGTCACCTTTTCTTGCCATCTGCAGCACATATTGAGTATTCTGACCTCCTGACGGTTTCCACCGTCCAGTTGCTCGATGATACCACCGATTGATAGTAGACAAAGAACTCAACCTGAAGATGCACTTCAGTAGCAAGCCGAATCAGCCGAGGCACAACTCATCATGACATAAACTCCAGGAGCGGATGATATTCACATGCCCGGCGTCATTCTGTTTTGCAGCAAAACTGACGCTTTGACCACTGGCTAGCTGCACAGTTTTTTACTCGTCTACTTCAGGTCCAACGTCGGGTACCACTGCTTGAGCAGTGTAAGTAGCTCACTGAAGCTATCGTCCACCACCTTGTTGACAAGGATAGCGTCAAACACATCCGGCTGCTCACTGAAAGCAATCTCGCCGGCCGCATTCTTTACGCGCAGCTGGATCTTGTCCTCTGTCTCGGTGGCGCGTCCACGTAGACGCGTTTCCAGCTCGTCCATGGAAGGCGGGGCAATGAAGAGATAGTTGGCAGAAATGCCCGACTTCTTGACCTGTTTTACGCCCTGGATATCGATGTCCAGAATGCAAATCTTGCCTTTTTCCTGCACTTCCTGCACAGCACGTCTGCTTGTTCCATACACATTGCCATGCACTTCGGCGTGCTCTAAGAACCGCCCAGCCTCGATCTCCTTGAGCATCATGTCCTTCGCAATAAAGTGGTACGCGACGCCATCCACTTCACCGTCACGCGGGTTGCGTGTCGTATGGCTCACCGAAAAGCCAAACGTATCAGGAAACTTTCGCAGCAGAAGATTAATGAGCGTTCCTTTGCCTACGCCCGACGGACCGGCAATCACGATCGGCTCGAGCTACACCAGGAATACATTTCACATACCAAAGTGTCAGTAAACGCCATTGCATTCGCGTTACTTCACAAAGAACGTGCTAAACCACCTGAGTCGATTGGTACACCTGTGCGTGAGGAATCGACCGGGAGGCTGAAAAGTGCGTGGTCGCAAAGGCCACAACGTCCTGAGGTTTCTCTAGCAGCAGCGCCGACATGAAACCGCTGAGCAGCTTCTTGATTTCCGGATGAGCTTCGACGTAGGCTGCGTGCTCCTGCTTGAGCATCGCTTTGCGCTCGTGAAGTAGCGATACGTCCTCATCGGACAGCGCCTTCGTCGCTGGTGCTTCGTTTCCACTCATACTTGCAACGTCGTCACGAATTGACTGGTAGAGTTGATTCAGATAAAGTAACTCCTAGGTAATGTTACTTTTGCAAGTGACGAGGCAGCTGTGCCTTGATTACGTCTACATCTGACTCCAGAGCATACCGGTACTGCTTACACTATCGACGTGTAGGCTCCTGTGACTGTACCCAAGTTACTACTGCAGCACACTGTCGGTGGTCGACACATGCACTTCTTCATCATGACCAGGCGAATTTGACTGGGCCATGTACGACGACGAAAGCGAGTGGTTCGGAGGTGCGATTGGAGCTGCCACTGAACCGGAAGCAGGAGGTTGAAACGTAGCTGGAGATCCACCAGGCGATGCAGCATCCGCCAGCTTGGGGTTGAAGATCTTGAACTGCGGCGGACCACGAGCGACAGTGCCAGCATTTGGAGGCGTCTGACCGGGATATCCGCCAGTTGAGGACGGCTGCAGCTTGTTGGCAAACGTGGAGGCGTATGGGTTCACACCAGCAACGGAAGAAACCGTTGCAACACTGTTGACTGGCACACTTTCTGTCGGCGCAACTTCGGGCGTTGCCATCGCGCCTGGAGGCGGCGCTGTGACCTTGACCTCACGCGTGTTACCGAACTTGGCAGTCAGCTCGTCGTTGCCTACACTGGAGCCAAAGCCATCAGCTTGAATAGGGCGGTAGTCCTTCGGACGAGCAAACCGCGACGGTCCACCACGAGGAATAGCACTATGCGTAGCCGCAGCGTACAGATTGTTCTGTGGCATCTGCTGCGGAGGCGCCGCCATCATTGAATGACTCGGCATCGTCGAGTAGTCTCCGCTGAGTGGCGGAGGCGCAATCACCGGACGAGGCGCCATTGGGTCTACAGACGGAGTAATCCCAGGCGGCAATTGCGATGCGACTTGTGCGGGGTCTTCGTGCCGGAACTGCAGTGGAAGCAAATACTGACGAATATTGTCTCCTTTAGCCACGTCATAAGCTGTGCGCCCCTGGCGGTTGCGAAGCGCAGGGTTTGCGCCATTGTCCACCAGGAACCTAACCGCTTCGTCGCGACTCTGTGCCGCTGCATAGTGCAATGGAGAGTTTTGACGTTGACACGTAGCATTGACGTCCACTTTGTGAGTCAGAAGGATCGTCAAAATATCGACGTGGCCGTGATATGCTGCTGTGTGGATGGGCAGGTTCCCCGCTTCGTTCTTGGCGTTCGGATCGACGTTCTCTTCGTCCAGCAAGTGGAGGACTTTGTCCGTCAGCCCCTGTTCAATCGCCGCGTGGAGTTCCTGCTCGGGCGTAAGCGTCGGTGCCAGTAGCTCCCCCAAGTTCTTTACATTGAGCTTCTCCGCAATGAAATTGAACATGTTTGAGCTTCAGGTCGGATCACACACAGAAAGTGACAGAAGAAGAGGAAGAACGAGGCAGAAGTTGAGTGGGGTGACGAAAGTAGAAGAAGAGGAAGCGACGGAAGGTTATCGTGGGGAAGACAGCACGGAATGCGACTACGCGTCAGTATCGGCGCTTTTGTATGTATGAACTGTGTGTAGTATGTGACGGATAATGTTGTTTCAGGGGCTGCTTCTCGTTTTGTGGCGCCAGTCGTCGCATTTGATGTGGTTGACACTCCCCACCCACTGGACTTCTCATGGTCGCAGCCGAGAATCCAGTTGGGGTGGCATCATCTTGCAGCCCTGCACAGTCACTGAATTGGCAATAATCCATCGTTCATTATTCAAAACTCCTTCCTTCTCGAATACGACGCGTTTCCAGTAAATGATTCCCATTCCTGCGACGCAGTTCCTGCCGCAGACAGCAGCGGACATCCCGCAACACTTGTACGCTCCTACCCAGGACGCAAACACAGGAGGGGCCAAGACTGCAGACGACCAGTGCGGATGCTGCCACAAGAGTCTGTTTATGAAAGACACAGTGAAGCAAACGTCGTGTGGCCATCTCTTCCACGCACGTTGCATCGACAAGTACCTACAGAAGGGACTGTACTGCCCTGTGTGTCATGTGCAAGTGCTGTTCCCAGCCGTGGTCGCTGGGTCCGTCTACCCGTCCGCTCAATTGCCTCCACGAGCAGTTCCCGTGGCGACGGCTTTTGCACCTGCAGCGGGCACGCACCCTCGCGACTACGGGACGTGCCGAGAATGTGGCCAGACGTTCTATCGGGATCCGACGAAAGTGCGCCCTGAAACCAACGGGTGGTACCGCTGCCAGCGCTGCGCTCCAACTGACATTGTCGACTTTATCCGAGGCAGTTTCTGTGTCCTGCAGTGACTACTGTCACGTCGTGTCCGGTTGACGTTGTCAACACGGAACATTGAGCGACTCGCCAGTGCGTCGATCGATAATAATATATATTTCCACCATCCCTTGTTCCTGTTTCGTTCCTCGTAGTTATGTGTTTTGAAGGGTAAGCTAACAATAATGTTGTAGCACAACACGATGAATATCGACAACTTGGTTGCGCTATTGCTAAAATTTGCTCACTGTAAACGAGCGTCTGACTTCCGTCGATTGATTGGCCCCGTGGCCAGCCCTTGTCTTTGTCCTCCTCCTACGTGGTGTTATTAAACCGACAAATACGTCAGTGCACCTGCTGTGTCGCATAAGCACAATGAAGAAAAAGATGACGAAACGCGATGCCAATACTGACGCCTCAGTAAAGCATCGGACCCTCTTGAAGGAGGGTGACTGGATGGGTGCGTGGCACTTGATCCGCCCTTCCATCAGTGCTGACCGTTGCTTACTTGCGCTCGGCTCCTCTTTTTCTGCTATAAATGTCTTGCTGGATGCAAACAGATGTGCTGGATGGTGACGGTGTGTGGAACGTGGCTCGCGTGATAGGCGTTTTGTCATGGAAAGAGGTGCCTTTGCAGCTCTATAGGCTCCTTATAAGTCAGATCTAGTAAGGTGTCGTAGCTGACACTCAGCTGCTGTAGGTGAAGATTCATTACGACGGCTGGCCAAACGACTATGACGAGGTCGTGTCGATTGATAGCAACCGTGTGGCTCCATATCATACGTTCACGTGGAGCGTGAAGTGCTGGGTCAAGTATCTTAATTGGCCACTGTGGCCCTCTCTGGTGTGTTTTCTGCTTCTCTCTTGGTTCAGCCGCCACTGCCAGAGATTCGTTTGATCGATTGATGTGGCTACTTGCTTATGCACAGATTACTATTCGAACGCCCGGAACGGTTGCAGGCATTAATAATCTTTCCATCGAAGATCGAGTCTATGTCGACTTTTTGGACAATACTACGTTTGGTAAGCGTGACAGGTATGCGAGCGTTAACCTGCGACAAGAAGTTTTGCGAACTGGTTCGTAACAGGTGTGCAACGCAAACTGACGTTATGACAGGTGTTGGCAAAAGGTATCACAAATACGGGCTTTCGGCGACAATTTCGACAGGAAGCCGGCGAATTTCCCGACACGGGCGCAAGTTGAGAAAGCACTAGCACGGGTGTTACAATCGGAAGCATCTTCCAAGATGCCTGAGTTTGCTACCGGTACTCTGCTTGGGAAATACAAGTCCAGTCCGGCAAAATGTGTCGAGACACTACGAAAGAGTATGGGTGATGAGCTATGGTTTTCAGCATTTTACTTATAGCAGAAAGCATCACGCGAAGACTTACGTTTACGAAACTACTGGAGGAAAAGGTTTCGACAATTTAAGCCATGTTAGCCAGTGCACCCGCATTGAATGTGAGGCATTTAAATTTGTCAGCCATGAAGGAAGGAAAGTCTCAAGTGATAGAAGTTAGTGAAACAAAGAGCTTGGTAAGTACAAAGATACAGCACAAGCTGGAACGAATGGAAAGCAGCGAAGGCGCTGAGGCTGAAGATAACAACGAGATGGGCTACTCAACAAAACGGTCTTCACAAGAAAAACAGAAGTCGGATGATTCACTTGAGCCAAAGGCAAAACGGCAAAACTCCGAGCCTTTGTGCTTCCGCGTCGCGTGATCAAAACCTCGAAAGCACTAGCTCAGCTTCCCGTCAAGGAGAGCAGATCATGTTGCGTTAAAGGTACACACCTATGCGGCCACATTTCGATCGGTAGACAAAAATTTGACGGACAAGATGATCGTAGATAATGTGAATGTCGCAGGAAAGACTAAAAAAGGCGCCAAGCGGCCAGTCAGAGAAAGCGCTGCTATGAGCGCCGGCTTTGAACTGATGCATCTCGGCATGTCATCTGCGCTTGAAAGTGATGTTTCGAACCACAACGAGGAAGGCGAAGAACACGGGTCGCCCGCCGTCGCTCAATCGAGAACAGAGTCAGAGCGCTCTGTTGCTAGGTACCCTTCGAAGCGATCACGAATGAACGACCCGGAAACGTTGCTCGATCGCGACATTAAAGTGAAAGACTCAAAGCAAGTCAAGGTGAACAAACGCCAAGCCGCAGCCAATAAGAAGAATCAGGAAATGGTCGGGACAGAAGGACAAGAATACCTACCTTTTGAAAAGGCTACGGTGTATGGACGACGGGTTGAACAAATTGGTCGCAAACGTACGTGTGTTCTCATTGCCTTCACTTGTAGTTTCTAATGTTGTTGTGATCATTGAAGTGCATGGCGCTCCAGAGTCAGTGGCCCCGTATCATAACAGCAACCGAGTGAAACAGCCAATTGCTAATCCAAGCGATAACGATGCCTTCGTGTCGTCGATATTGTCAAAATTTCAAGAAGGTAACTTTGTGGCTGATTAGGTGGCAATTAGTAGCGAATTTTGTGGGCGGTAATGGCGTCTCTGATACGACTTGTGCTTGAAAATATGAAGGCGCGGAGATCGTCGACAAAAACCGTTCACCTTCGCTTGGTGGATCCCCGCACAGCAATCGTGGCAACAACCTTTCCCAAGAGCTGCGCGGACGATCTTGTGTGATGCACGCAGGTCACAAAGGTCGATGGTGTTGTCATTGTTGGCTCGTACTGACACTTACTGGTAACACGTCATGTCATGCGTCGTACTAACTCACGATTGGCCGCATGTTCGTACAGATGTAGATGCCGCCAAGAACGTGAAATGCTCAAACAAGACTGTCATCAGCATGCCAAGAAGATTTCAGGAATACTCAGTTCCTCGCATGTTCAATTGCGGCACTAGCTCTTCAGCACCGCCTGGACCTGGATGCTCGTATTCTGATGCTGCTTTGGCTGCATCAACACCGGTTTTCAGCTCCAGCAATTCGTTTTCGATGAAGTCATGGTTTAAGCGACTCGACGGCAGATTTCATTAGCGGTGATTCCGACACCATTCACAATTTTTGCGGATACCTCAAAGTGAATCTGTTGAGCGCTCCGATAAGAATTACTCAGCAGGGTGTATTTGCGGAATGGTTTTGGAGGCTGCATTATGAGAGGTCCCGTCGTCCATGCCTCTGCGTTAGATTAGACAAAAAGCGGGCATTTGTGTTCACCATTCATCACGTGGAAACGTTGATTGCGAGCCCGAAGGGTGAAGCTATGAGTGAGTGTGCGCAAGGTTGCATACCAAACTTCTGAATCGTACTTATCTGTGTGTCCGTGTGTGTCTGTGTGTCTGCAAATGACGCGGTCAGCTGTACTGTTACGTACCAAGCACGAACTAGCCTAGCCCCCTCAGAGGCATATTATGAACATTTCGAAACTCATTTTTTGGCATGTATGTATTGTGATGCACGCACGTGATTGGCTCAGAACTGATCCACGGTGGATATGGTTATATGCAAATGCTGACCTCTCATAAGTAAACGCCGATCGCGTTGTCACTGCCTGCAGGGCTGTATTCAGAAATACATGAGCAGCACCATATCCTACTACAGTGAATGCTACTGCTATTGAATAGTGTTATGTGTCTTGATGCAGTTCTCCGAACTGGATTACTTATGTAAAAGGGCAAGTTTCAGAGTGCACTCCCCTATCTTATATGCACTCACGAATCTGTAAATACACACCCTGTAATGGGGTCACACAAGCCATCGGCTAAATTGCTTGAAGACCTCCTATATGTGATATGGGAGACAAGTGTGGCCTTAGATTTTATGTCCATAGAGAACACCGATTAGTCGGTATTCTCTGGGTTACGGTACTTACCGTGGAAGTACTTTGTACCGTCATCATTTGATAGCTGAGTGATGTGCCAACTATCCGTTTAGTTCGAATACTGATATTTGCATTAGTTCCAGATACGTATAATAAGGGGTGCTTAAAGTAGGATTTTCCCTGACTTAAAATATAAATAAATTCAGTTCTCATTTTGAGCAGAAGTTTGTAGACTTCCACCCTTTCGCACGTTGCGCTTGACAGTTCCAAAGAACTTTCGTGGGTTCCAAAGAACTTTCGTGGGTTAAAGAGTCGTTAGACACCTGTGTTCTTCTTCGCACATAATGCGTGTAGTTCTTTAAAACAACTGTAGTCTTAGCTAATAGCTCATAGAGTCCGCGCTAAGTTCCGTAGAAAAATCCAATTTTTCAACTTGATATGCTAATTCCTTAGAACTAATTGGATGTTGTCCATAAGCCTCAGGCTTAACCCGTAAAGTCTTCCTCTGACTTTAGAGCTGCGGTAGCTCCCTACACACCCAGTACGCAGGCCACCAATGCGCATTAATTTTTTTTTGCGATATTATGACAACATCAACCTAATTTCGGCCCTCGTGCTTTTTCCTGAGACCAACTTCTTTAGAAAGATTTGCTGCGGGTTCCAGTTCGGAGTAAAGTGCATCAGCAAATGAATTAAGGCAAGCAAATATCTAGACGGTGAAGTCTGACACGGAACGGATAGAGGCGAAGACATCACGAGGTGCACAGATTTATTCGGATGCATTACTTTAAATATAAAGCATGTGGTGGCGGTGGCTGAGCAGTAATGAAATCGCAAGACGGCGCACTTTATAATACTATAGATTAGACGAGCGCTTTGGCATCATCTATAGACAAAGACAGGCGACAAAAAAACGGCGATGATTGTGTCCAGTTTCGTGACGGTAATTGCACTTCCTGATACCAAGTGGGCCATCCATGTTCTCAAACTCAGACGATAGAAGCGTTGACAACTCTTAGTGCGACCACTTGAGAGATCGTGTCTTTTAAATCCGGAATAAAGGCTGAAGGATCAAGACTGTTGTCGCTGTCTAGTCCAATTTTCTTCGCAAATGATTTGTCTTATTAGGCTTTGTCAAATAAACGTGGTAGCTCACGATGTGTGCACACGTGGTTTAAAGGTAGTATCGAGTACAATCGTTACTGTTGATTTTTTGGACTCTCTGCATTTGTTTAATCAGATATATCTGACCCTGTAGCTATGCTGCTGTCTTTCTGATACAGCCGTACATGAATTTGCCACTCCGGCCGCCACTGCTTCATCAGGAGATTTTAAAATCCCTCTCAAATAAGTAATTGGGTAGTCAAGCAGTCTAAACCGTTAAGAAATACACTATGAACCGAACATTAAGGGATTATCATCATGACGATATTTACTAATAGAGACCGAAAAGACCGTAATAAAGTGGCTGAATCGTAAAATCTTTAAGTATAATGAACACTACTTTATACCGTTTGCTAATGCATTATCGCGCGTTTATATAGCAATTTTGACAGCGCCTGTACATTCAGACAAAGGTAAGACAGCATGAAAATCTATTTCCGAAGCGTTTTGTGCAGGATCTTGAACCCATCAGGAAGCTACTTAAAATCCCCGCCTTTATTTTCCCGCCCTACATAAGCAGTATCGAAAAGCAACACAGATTAGTAATAATATAAACGGGTCGCCTGAGGTGTCAATAGCCCTACTCGCCTTGTAATACCTGTAAAATATAGACCGTTGTCTTTTGCGCCTCTCTTACCGCTTCTGCCACTCCACTAGCTCCGAATTATTATGTCGCGTGCTCCGTGATCCTTCCATATGCATGGCCATAACCAATAAACTTGTTTTTTTTCAATTGAGGAGACTTTCGTAACTCTTATATTTTTCTGGTGGATGTCCATCCCGAAAAGGCTGGTCTTGTCTGGGCACTAGTTTACCCTTCTACGCAAGAAGGGTGGGTAAAGACGCAAAGCATGTTGTGATGGGGCTTTGGTGACTTGTACTGTTTCAGTACGAGTCAACTTACACTGAAACAGTGTAAGTTAGAGCCGCACGCCACTTCACGTAAACCTTGCGTGCAGATAAAGGATATCTTTCGAACGTAGCGATCAATGGAAAAAGAAAGTACAACCGTATTAGATTCAAGTAATCATTAGTCATCGTCGTATTTTGTAGTCCTAACCTATTTACATCTATCTTACAAAGTGCATGCTGAACTCTTGCTCAGCACTCATTGTGCGCGTCCATCACAGACTAAATAGCTCGAGCTGGCTGACATGATAAACCATATCACCCAATAGTTAAGTGTTTCTGAATACCTTCTTATGGTATTTTAAACGAACATCGTCAACCTTTATAACAACGTTTCGATCATCAAGAATCGATTTTTACTTATACGTAATGGGATCACCCTGTAACACATGCAGTCTAGGCATGAGCCCATCGCTGTGGGTTTTTAACCACACGTAACGAAAATCAGCACCAAAAGGTCCACTAGAGAGCTGCGTAAAAGAGGATCAAGTCGAAGACCTAAAGGTAGTTCACGAACGAAGAAAGTTAGTGAATAAACAAGTTTCTGAGATTTTTGGCATTAAGCTGATGACATTTACTCTGGACCATTGATTTCAACTGGTTAAATAACCACACAGGCTTTAATTTGGCTCCCACGCATCAGTATCGGGTGTCTCTTGGGCGCATTTAGTGGCAAAAATTCTGGAAAATTTCTACCGCATTCTTTCGTCTGTTACGCTTGATCAAAAGCTCAGATACATGTCCGTTTAGAGAAATTGTACGTGTCTTTTTTAACGTCCCGGTAAGCTGTCTGGTTTGATTTTAACGCGCAAGACATAGTTTAAACAAAAAAGGGGCGTGAACAAGTGTCCTTGAAAGTTTGTAAAAGCGACTTAATCATGTTCAAGAACTGTTAATCTACTCTCATATTTGTGGTAAAATCCCCTCAGTTTGGCATAACGCTTCATGATCGGTTAACTTATGAGTCGAAAGTAAAAGGAACAACATCTTTTCAATTGGAGTTTTAAAGTCAGATTTGTCGTAATCTTATACTTTGAGCCTTATTGCTCAAAAATTTCGTGCGGTTGACGTCATGGCTGGCGGCTTTTGACCACAGTAAGCGATGTCCTTCGATCAAAAGATGCGAGTAAGTGAGTGAGTGAGTGTAAGGAGATAATATCAAACCAAAGAAAGCAACAATCAGCACCACTGACGCAATAGATTCGTAAAATTTGTACGATGATGCGGCCGTTACATAAGAATGAGCCACAATGCACAACAATGCGGAAATATAATCGAACCAACACCTGCAGAACTTAACGGAACCAAGTCATTGATCAAAATAATATTGACAAGATTCCTCGGTACAATTCTATGAGCTTTACAGGCACTATCGCTGGTGCATCACGTAAATAGACGCTTACTTACACGAGCACGCATATTTATCGGCTTTATTGCAGTTATAGCAACTGATATACCGTGAAGCAGTGTTTCAATTAATGCGGTGACTCAACATTTTCGCAATAACAGGATTTTCTGCATGCGCAATAGTCAAAATCTACCTGTGCACAAAGAACTTGGTGTCCTCGTGCATGCTCTTATGCGGACCTACATTGCACATTAACAGATCCGGAACAGCACAGAAAATGGGAAGTGATTCAGTAACAAATTGGACAAACAAACATAACACGCGTCGCGTGCACGCTACACGAGCAATCCAAGTATGCGACAAAATGAATTAGTAAAGAAAAGAAGCAGTCTTACCACTCACTTGCGCAAAAACTTTTGCATGAAAGCGTGCTGGTAATTGCTTGCCTTGTAAAGGCGTCTACCTTTTGTATTTATTTAATGAGCGAGAGAGTACGTAAAGCTTCGAGTCTGCTAACATTTCAGGCAAATTCTGACATAATCTTGAGCTAAAAATCACATAAGAACTATTGCTAACTATACTGAATTAGGTCAAATTGATGCTTACAAACCGTTTTTTGCGATATAAAAACCTAAGGCATGTCTATAGATTAGCCAATAACGAAGAATTATATCGAACTGAGTGAATTCTGCCAGAAAAACGGAGAAGAGGTTAACGGTTCCCTTTTAGTCGTACGGCTCATCGTAGGTACAACTTCACACCGTACAGACGAAGAAGAACGATCTATCGAGGAATTTTTGACGTGGCGTGTTAGTTTCGTCCGTCCATCGATATCCTGCTCGAGCTTCTCCTCGTGCACTAATCGAGGCTTGCGCTAGGAATTCGACGTTTAAGATTCCATTTTGGAAAAACGCTATCTCAGAATGCTGTGTCTTCTGCTTAAATCTTGTCAGAACAAAATAGCATGTTGCAAATAGAGATTTTTCGATGGTTTTTATGTGGACACTTTAAGCGATATACAGAAGTAGCTTAAAATTTGCTTTTGTGGCTTCTGTATGATTACTATGTAGGGCAAGGGAAGTTAGGACGGGAAATGTAAATAGCTTCCCCAATTAGCTGCGATCCCGAGTAAGTAATATCGTGTCTGTCTGGTCTTCGTTCAAAGGGTTTAGAGCTTTTGACGCAGTGAATTTAAAAGTGTCGACTTATACTCAAACAAGAAGTTTTAATCATCTTAAAATTGGCTCTACAGTTTTATCATTTTCTTGGCATTACAAATTACAGAACTGATGTACATTGAAGTGACATTTTCATCTTAATTCTACGGAACGTGTCACCAAAAATAGTGTATGAATGAAATCACGCAAGTAAACGCACTCATTTTTTTTCAATTAAGGCTCAGATCCTTCATTTTTTTTCAAGGAGATGACCTGTAACGGAGTAGCCCGTTACCTGATACTTACCTCAAACGATGTCAATAGGGAGATTGTCTTGCGTGACAATTTCCTAATTAATATTTATCTGAGATGGATAAGTCTGAAGGATTATTATCCCTCTGTGGTACAATATTCATGCGCTGCTCAAAGATCGGTTGATAAAGACATAACAACCAGGGTTACCAACAATCGCTGCTATACGCGCGTAATGAGTAGTGAGCAGGTTTTCGTCACACGACGGCGTAGTTTAATATAGGTAGATAAAGACTGAAGTTGATAGCTTAACTATATAAAACTCAGTTCTCTTTTTACCATTACTCAGCTTTTATCGTTGAGTAGATTAGCTTCCTCTGCACGTACTAGTGTACGTAAAGTTTCGTGGCACCCGAAACAAACGGTGCCCCGTTACACCTGGTAGCACTTTGTAGTCCGTCCAACGACTGCTTAGTGTCCGTCCAACATGAACATGTTCGACGTAGAGGACGAAAGCTTTCACGTCACACGTGAAGGCTACTCCCACCTAAGCGACTCAGAATGGGAGGTAGTCGGCCGCATGAGTGTGCTCATGGGCGAACCCGCCATCAGTGGTATGTTGGAGTCTTCTAAACAGATACCAGCAACATGCCGCTATCAACAGGTTCCTACAAGGGGAACTTGCTGTCGAAAGACAGAAGATATCCTTGCTACAACAGCAAGGCTATCATCAGTCGATAGAAGGTCAGACGCACATGCGTCGACCCAAAACCTTGAAGATTTATATCTCAAGGTACAAGGGAACCAGTGAAGATTCCCTTTTGAGATGGTTCGTCGAGTTAGACGATGCCATCAGGGCCCGTCACATCGAGAATTACGAGATGAGAGTCACCTTCGCCCTTTAAAATTTGACGGGACGAGCAAAGACTTGAGCCTTAGGGCTCAAGTTTCACAACCCAAACGTGTTTAAGCCGTCTAATATCTTGAAGTCTCGACTTAAAGAGACGTTTGAGCGGCCGAGAGCCGAGCTTAGAGCACGCTCTGCACTAGTAAGGCTCAAGCATGGTAAGCGTGACTTGCACGCTTACGCTCAACACCTAAGCTACCTTGCGAGAAGCATTACGGAAAACCCTGTTGATGAGCACACGCTCATCAAAGTGTTCATCTACGGCCTTGTAGATGGGCCGGTGAAGACTTAAAAGGTCTGGGAGGACTTCCATACGCTGGAAAAGGCGATAGCGTGTGCGGAACAAGAGGACATTAGCCTAAGACAGTCTCAGGATAAATCGTCAAACCATCGTCCAACGAGACGAAAGGAAACAGGAGGTCCCGAACCAATAGATCCTCGGTTACATCGAGAGCGAGAACTCTCACTCTCTAAGTCACAAGTGATCTGCAAGATGCCATCGCTGTCAGAATATCGGACACTAAGCTTATGAGTGCAGTGTCCCAAGCACCACATCACGTCGAAAGACAGGTCGTAATGACCGACATTGGTCAAACAAAGGTCCAAGGCGCGAATCCGACCATTTCACTAAACCGCGACAGCAAGTCGGACCGTCAAAAAACAGACAGGGTCAGTAGAGGCGGAGCATCCTGCTGATCCAGCAACGTCAAGAGAATTTGCAGGACTCTTGACGAAGATTGCTCCGAACACGCAGTCTCTGTGTGTTGCTGCTCCTAGTGATGAGGAGTCTCTCATCACTTTGAAGATCGAAGTGACAAGTGGAATGTCACTTCGCGCCCTAGTTGAATGTGGGACGTCGAACAGCTTTGTTTGACGCCAGCCAATAGAGGATAGTAGACTCAACTATGTCGAGCGAGAGTTCCCTCCAACGAGGATAATGGTGTGCCTTGCAACAGGCGCGTCCGTATCAGTAAATTGTTTTAGTGGGAATCTACTACACGCTAGAAGGAAAGCAGTACGATGATGACTTCATCGTACTGGATTTGGATGACAAATTTGATGTCCTTCTTGGTCTGCCATGGCTTAGAAAGCACCGGCCATGGCTTATCTGGCAGCATCGATCCGTGAAGGTGCCTGCCGTTTGTTTTACAGATGGCCATCAAATGAGTGTCTTGGAGCGTCCACAAGCGTTCAGATGTACTACGAATGAGAGCGATGGTCTGGGGGGGGGGGGGGAGGGAGGGCAGGCCCGCCAGGATGTAAAGAAACAAGGAGGGGGGGGGGGGGGGGTTTTTTTTTTTGGTGTTGGGTGTTTTTTTTTTTTGGGTGGGGGTGGGTGGGGGGGGTTTTTCTTTTGGGGGGGGGGGGGGGGGGGGGGGGGGAGTTTGTGGTAGCGGGGGGGGGGGGGGGAGAGAAGAGGAGGGGTGTCTGCAGTAGCACCACACTTGTGGTACGGTCGAAAGTATGACTTACAAAAACACAGTGTAGAAGTCCACTACACCATAGAACCAGCTTCCGGAACCTGTGTAGAGACACAAGCTGCGCCGAAGGTTCAAAAATCGAAGGGATCGAGTTAAGTGGAAGACGGATGCACGCCAAGAAGGGTGCATCCAAGAAGAGAAATTAGTGTTGTTCAGAGTGAGCAACACATTAAAGCGAGATCGACTAATAGAGAGTCTATCGCAGAGCAAGCATGATTGACTGAAAGAGAGTCGATCGAAAGGACGTGACTGTGGTAGCGCATCCACAGTTAGGGGTTTTATTGTAAGAAAGGCAGCTTTCCTAAGAGTGATAACTCCCAATAGAATTATGATGGGGTGTGGATCCTTGTCCCATGTTGAGGATGTGTTATCCCAGAAAATCACCGAGACAATGAATGTCTTAGTGAGTGACGGATCAAGTGTAGGCGCTTATACACTTGGTCTGGTTACGCCCCCGAAGTCAGATTCGGACGTGGTCAAGTTGCCAACGCTAGAATTTTATTAATTTTTATGTGAGATCTGCGTAGTGACAAGATCAAGCAGATTTGCGTACTCGTCACAGAGGACGAGTAAGTCGCCGATATTTGGTCGGCACAAGTGTCTGCTGAGTACGAACGGGTTCTCAGTAGTTCATCTATGGATGAGAGTGTCCTCGATGAGAAGACCCGGTTTGAGCGATACACGTCTCAATCTTGGGAGTCTTTGAGACAATCCTTTGTATGAGGATTTGGTCGAATTCAGGGATGCTTTCCCGTAATCCGTGCCATGCGAGCTTGCCAAGGACAAAGACACTCGGCATAAGATCGAGCTGAAACCTGATTCGAAACACTGTGTCATGAAGCAGTGGCCACTGCCTCGTGAACAGGTCACAGCGATCGACAAAATCTTAGCCGATCGGTTAGTGGCTGGTAATATGAGGACATCAACATCCCCACACATCTCTCCGACCTTCTGTGTGCGAAAGAACACAGGGGGGTGGTGTAATGGGCCACCTCGTTACATAAGTAGGTTCGATTAAGTTTACATGTTACTCAAGAAGGGGTGTTACTTTCGGAGTAGCGAAAGTAGCACGTCGTATATTTTTGCTGGTTTAATGGGCTCAGTACCATAATTAGCCAGTAAGATACAGGCACGTAGATTGAGTGGTTCCCATGAGTCCAAGGGAACCATTCGTAATTAGGATGATTTAAAAGACAAAAATATGAACAGAGTTAAAAATACTTAATACCTAAGACTTGGGCTTTAAGCTTCCTCAAAGCGTTAGAAATAGTGTACGCTATATAAGGGTCATTCTAGCCCCGTTACACCTGGTAGCACTTAGTAGTCCTTCCCATGCCCGAGTTTGCGATGAGCGATTCGTCGTACTTTGACGCTCCAGACGTGAGTCTGAAGCACGCGACTTTTCCCCATCTCACTGGTGTTGAGTGGGATGCCCTAAATCGCCTCGCGGAGATATCTGGAGAGGCATTCGTTGTGTCTCTGATGAGATCAGCGACTCCTGATGGACAGCGTCTCGCCATACTCGACTACATGGCTCGAGAGCTCGCCGAATCCCATCGGCGAGGTTTAACTCCCTCGCGGACTTCACGGAACGATGCCGTAAAGATGGATACCTCCGCCTATTCTGGCGAAGGAAAAGAACGCTTGTCGTTGTCGCGTTGGTTCCGAGAGGTTAACATCGCTATCGCCTCGAGACTCCTCGAGGCTCCTCAAGCGAAGGTCAATTTCCTTCTTTCCCGTCTCACTGGGAAAGTCAAGGAGTGGGCCTTCAGAAAACTCTTTGTTGACGAGTTTGCGTTCCCCACTCTGGAAGCCATCCAGAGTGACCTTCGACTCGCCTTCGAGCCGCCCCAGGAAGAGAAGTTGGTGCGTTCAAGGTTCCTGTCCCTGAAACAGGGTAAGATGTTTATGCGCGACTACGTGCAGATGGCTCGACATCTGGCGTCTTACATTATCACGCATCCCACGGACATGTATACACAAGTGAACGTGTTTGTCGATGGCATGCGTGAAGGGCAGACTCGCCTATCGCTGGAATGAGCAGAGCCTGCCACGTTGGAGAAGGCTTTCGCTATCGCTCTCCGTGAGGACTTCAGAAGCACCAAGGCCTATACCAAGCCTTCAGTTATTACTGATGTCAGATCAGCGGGCCCGGCACCTATGGAGATCGATGCAATTGAGTCGTCGGGTGACCGACGACGCGCTACAGCCTACAAGGGCGACGTCCGAGGCGGACGTCAGATGATCTGCTTTCGATGCCGAAAGCCAGGACATCGCGCGGCTGAATGCCGCGCGCCAGCACCGATGTCGGTGCATGCGACGGACACCCATCATGAGGGAGGTGCTCCGATCAGTCGTCCAAAAAATGGACGAGACCAGTAGGTGCAGGGCGCCCTATTGGTTTGAAGGGAGGTCCGGGTCCACCGGTGGCAGCCCGACCTCCCAGCCCATCTGTGCTGCGTGCACGGTCAAATGCCACCACTACGAGTGGGGATTACGCCTGATTATTGTTATTCTACATTTCGCCGGTATCCGGCGACCTCTACGAGCGCTCCTGGATTCAAGAGCGATAAACAATTTCTTCCGTGAATCTTGCGTGTCAATGCTGCCACCCAGCACCCAGATCCACAAGGGACCTGGCCAAGTTGTTGTCAAGCTCGCTGACGGGAAACCACGCCGCGTATCGCGGCGCGAAGTGTCGTTGCCGTACACGTTTGACGGCTTTCGCAGTAACGACAATTTCTTGGTGAATGAAATAAATTGTTCATTCGATTGCATCCTGGGCATGCCATGGTTGGCACGCTATAAGCCCCAGATCGACTGGTTAGCCAGATCAGTGAGACGTCGAAGCAAGTTCGAAGTCAGCGAAGTGTTCACCCATCTCTTGGTGTCTCCAAGTGATTGGCCGAACGTTACAGTCGTGGTATGTACATCCACGACACCGGCGGTACACAGAGTGAGCGATGGCCCTCTCTGTGCCGCTTGTTCCGTGCCCCTACGCACGAGTGATGATGTCTCCTCGCTTTGCAGCGAGGAGTCCGACGTGGACGAGCAGTGGCTCCTGCGTTTTGACGACGTGGACGAGCAGTGGCTCCCGCGTTTTGACGACGCGGACGAGCAGTGGCTCACGCGCGACGACGACGCGGTCGAGCAGTGGCTCCCGCGCGACGACGACGCGGTCGAACAGCGGTTCCTGCACGAGAGAGCAGTGGTCGAACACGAACAAGTGTTCCCACCTGCACCCCTTGTGGTCGAGCAGAGGCTCCCACAAGGGCAAGATGTGGCCGAGCAGGGGCTCGCCACCGAGTGTGACGCAGATGGACAAAAGTTCCCACGTGCGAACATGATGGTCGAACAGGGGTTCTCATCGTCGCCTACTGTGGTCGAACAAAGTTTCCCACATGAGCAAGACGTGGTCGAGCAGGGGCTCCCACACGAGTTTGTGGCGGTAGAGCAGGGGCTCCCGCATCCTGCGTCGACGGACGAGTATGGACTACTCCCGTCACGCGATTTCGACGTCCTGGATGATGACATCCACGTCTAGAGGGGGGTGCAGATTTAACACCTGACTGCAGTTCGCCAGCTTCGAGCATGGACTCGAAGCACGATGGGAACGCAAGCTACGAGAACTCAGCGTTGGAATGTGTCCACGCTATTGTGTACGTGGACGGGAGTCCACAAAGGCGCCAATACATTGAGTTCGCGAGTCCACCTCGCGACGCGTCGTCGATTACAAGTCTTCCAGGACTCTCCTGGAAGCATTTTCTACGTGACCTCAAGGGAGGCACGGTGGAACAAGTGTGTCTGGTCACCAACGAGGTGACCTATGAGCCGAATGAGGAGCGAATGACGCGCCCTCGAAGTGCTGAGCAAAGTCAGCGCGCGAAGAAAGATTTGCGTCACAATCTTGGGAGGCTCTGCGCGAGTCTGGTAGCCCAGTTTACGACATTGCACGAGAGTACGCCGACGTGTTCCCGGACAAGATTCCGGCCGAACTCCCTGCCGATCGTGGCGTGCGGCACGAGATTGATCTCGTGCCAGGATCAAAATATTGTGTGACACGCCAGTGGCCGTTGCCTCGAGACCAAGTCGAGGCTATTGATGCATTCTTCGAAGGTCGTCGCAAGGCCGGTCATGTGCGTGAGAGTGTCTCACCCCATTCGAGCCCAACCTTCTGCGTGAAGAAGGCTAGGGGAGGCTGGCGTGTAGTGCATGCGTTTAACAAGCTCAACGATGCCACTATTCCTGCCCAAACGCCTATCCCCAGGATAGACATGGTTCTAAACTCCATGTCAGGTAGCGTCATCTTCAGCGCCATAGATCTAACCGATGGCTTCTACCAGATATTTATTCCCGGGATATTTATATGTTTTAATTTATTAATTTTTGTTAATAATATTAATTTGTTTTTACCAAAATCTATTTTTAATTGATGTGACAGAGTGACATAGCACTCACTGCTGTGTCCACCCCGAGTGGTATGCTATGGGAGTGGCTGGTGATGCCACAAGGATTGAAGAACGCACCAGCCACTTTCAATCGCATAGTATCTCAAGTGTTAAGACCGCTTCAAGACTTTGCTCCTAGCTACTTCGATGACATTTTTGTCCACAGTCGCGCTGAGGGCAACCTCAGTGCTGTCCAAGTTCACCTTCAACACCTGATGCAGGTGTTTTAAGTCATGCGAGATAACACGTAATATGCAAACTTGAAGAAGTGTGTATTTTGTGCACCGGAGATTCCGGTGCTGGGCTGCTACGTGAGTAAATCGGGAGTTCGAGCCGATCCAGAGAAGGTGTCGTCAATCTGTTCTTGGCCCACACCGAAGAACCCTACGGAGTAACAACAATGGCTCGGTCTAGCTAATTACTTGCATAAGTACACAAAGGGATACGCCGGTTCTATACAGCCCCTGTCGTCACTTCTGAAGAAAGACGCCGCGTGGTCGTGGCGTCCCGAACATCAAGCAGCCTTTGACGCAGTATAGAAGAGCCTGGCGTCGGCGCCAGTGTTGATACTCCTTGACGACACCAAGCCGTTTCACGTGGTGTGTGATGCAAGTGACTTTGCAATTGGGAGCGCCCTCATGCAGTTCGATCATGAGGGCCGTGAACGAGTCGTGAGCTACCAGTCACGACAGATGAAGCCGTCAGAGAAGAACTATCCGGTTCACGATAAGGAACTGCTAGCGATGCGCTATGCACTCATCAAGTTTCGTGTCCACCTACTGGGCCAACGCACGTCCGCCCTGTATACTGATCATGCATCGCTGCGAACAGCAATGAAGAGCCCACACCTGTCACAGCGGATGGCACGGTGGCTCTCTTACTTTTCCGAGTACAACTTCGTCGTGCACTACAAGCCAGGCAAGACCAACATTCTTGCTGACGCACTGTCACGACGCCCAGATTACGATCCTCGTATGGCACTGATTCGTCAGGCAACTGACGACGAAGATGAAGACGATCGATGTGCGACGTGTGTGTCGTTGAATCGAACTCGGGTCACACCCGAGTTATGCCTTTTCGATGAAATTGTTGCGGCCTACGCGAACGACCCGGATTACGCGGACCTTATCGCCTATCTGCGCGCTCCTAGTGAGGCTGCACTGGGAGCTCTTTCGCGAACTAAGCGTGATCACATTCATCGATACAGTACGGACGGTGATATGCTGTTATATAGCATCGACAAATTCGATGCACCTCGAACGGTGATTGCGAATGACTTGGATTTGAGTGCTCGTATCATCCACGAGTACCATGATGCCCCAATTGGCGGTCATCTGGGCCGCGAAAAGACATTCGCGGCTGTCTCGCGTGACTTCTTCTGGCCCCACATGTACAAATGGGTTCGCATCTGGGTTCGCACCTGCGAAATATGTCAGCGCGTGAAGCCATCTCCATCGTCGCAGGCACCCCTGCGACCCCTGCCAATTGCAGATGAGGCTTGGAGCTCAGTCTCAATGGATTTTATCTTCGGGCTTGCACCAGATGGCCAAGACCAAAAGAGTATTCTGGTCTTTGTCGACAGATTCAGCAAGATGACACATCTGGTGCCTGTTCATGCAACGATAAACGCGGCTGAGACCGCGGTGCACTTCATTGACACTGTGTTTCGCCATCACGGTCTACCAGACAACATTGTCTCGGACCGTGATCCTCGTTTTACATCTGCTTTTTGGTTGTCACTGGTCGAGTTGCTTGGCACAAAGCTGCAAATGTCGACAGCAGCCCATCCGGAAACGGATGGGCAAACAGAGCGAGTTAATCGGGTCCTCGAAGATATTCTTCGAAGTAACGCAACGCCCTTTACAAGTTGGAGTTCGTTTTTGCCACTCGCGGAGTTTGCACTAAACAACGCGGTTCACGCGTCAACGGGGTTGACGCCATTTTTTGCAAATTCGGCCCGTCATCCTCGTGTACCTACTATTCTTGCCGTGGGTCAGCCCACGGCTCTTCGTGGCTCCACTCTGGCGGGGGGTGATAACGATAAACAACGATCGAGTGAAGCTCACGGTATTCTGAGCGCGAATGTTGTCAACTATTTCAAGGCGAAGTCTTCGGTTTCGACGCCACGTGACGTGGCGTCCCCGCTCGCTCAATGGACTCCACAGACGCTGATCGATCCTTCTTCTCGTATGCGAAACATTAAAGCTAACTACGCGCCAATTGAATCGGCGCGACCAATTGATGACATGGCTGTGTCAGAGTTTATACTCCAACGTCAAGCCATCACGAGGTTTGTACGCGATACTCTTCGATCTGCAGTGGATAAACAGAAAGCGAATGTATACAAACGTGGCAGAAAGAATATGAGTACTTTCAAGAAGGGTGATCGTGTATTGTTATCTACTGAAGGCCTCCGAGATTCAGCTGTAACCAATTTCGGCGCGAGCAAACTGTTCCCACGTTTTATCGGCCCATTCACAATACTCAAGGTGATCGGTGACGCATATACTCAAGACATCTCTTCGTCACTGCGACTTAACCCGACGTTTACGTCGGGCGGCTCAAGGAGTATCGTCCAGCTACGCTTCACGGGTTGGCTCCGTCCTCGGAGTCAAAGGCTCATAGGTCGACCTTCCCTCTCGCCTTGATCGACGCGCCAGCGACATCGGACGCGGCTGCGTCCCAGTCTGCGCGTGCCCAAGAACCTGGCCTTCCAGGTTCCGCATCCGTTCAAGCAGCTCGTGGTTCGACTGTCAAATCTCGTTCGCTGTTCTCTCAGCCCGCGCAGCTCGGTCAAGGGCAGCTTCAGCCTCCAGCTGGGCATCAACAGCCTTGTTCACAGCCTCATCTACATCGTCCTGGGCAACCAGGACGCCAGCAGTACCATCGTGAGGGTCCACCACCGCTTGTGGACGCGGAAGGCCAGAAGCGCTGGATTGTGGAGCGTTTACTGGGTCACGAGGACCCTCGTCGCGAAACGACATCGTCGCGACACCATAAGCGCGCGGTTCCAACCGCGCGCAAGTATCGTGTACGTTGGCTCGGGTTTCCACCCGAGCAGGATACGTGGGAACCGCGGTCTTCGCTTCTTCGAGATGTTTCGGACATCGTTCGGGCTTACGAGTCCCTGCACACGCTTGGTGCAGACTTGGTCGACGACCTGTGTGTTATCGCGGTGAGCGAGAACGAGATGCACGGCGACGGTGTCGTGGTGAAGTGTCACCACGAATACGAGACCGAGAGCGATTGCGAGAACTTCGTGGTGAAACGTCACCACGATGACGAGATGAAGAGCGACGACGAGAACGTCGCGACGAGCGTGTATCGCGACGATCACGTGAACGAGAACGTCGTGGCGAGTGCATGGCACCACGACATCGAGAAAGCGAGTGGTGTCGCCAGCGTGACGCGCCACGATTAACCGCAGTCTTGCGCTCCATCAAGCTGCGCTTGTATCGTCCGATCCAGAGCTTTTCATACTCGCTGAGTGGATACTCAGCGACGTGTCGTTGCCAAGCTTAGCGAGTTGGACGAGGCATCGAGTCACAGGAATATCAAGATTCGTGCACGTGAACGTAGCAGAGTCGATCTACGTTCCATGCGTTTTCACAGATCTTCTCGCGCAGTACACCGATGGAATTATCGGCGTGGATATCTTCACGATTGGCCAGCCACTGCTGAAAGTTTCTTCCATCTTCAAGCATCCGGTTCCACCTCCGGATGAACGCACACCATGACCACTGGAGCGACTCGTACGAGATGCCATCAAGACTCTTTCCACGCAACCCACGGAAACGCCGGAAGTAGTCCTGCATCGTTTCGAGAGATTCCGGAGCTCGAGCTCCGGACAAGTCATACAGCGCCCAAGGGATCAGGTGCCGATCCATCACGTGGTCGACTAAACTCCCGCTGATTGTGCGCGGGAGTGCTGTGGTGTTGGCGTCTGCGTCTTCAGTTATCGTTTGGCTTGTGCGTCGTTGGGTCTTGTGGTTGAGCACTCACGGTTCGTGAGTGCTGTCTTGAGAAGGGGGTAATGTAATGGGCCACCCCGTTACATAAGTAGGTTCGATTAAGTTTACATGTTACTTAAGTAGGGGTGTTACTTTCGGAGTAGCGAAAGTAGCACGTCGTATATTTTTGCTGGTTTAATGGGCTCAGTACCATTATTAGCCAGTAAGATACAGGCACGTAGATTGAGTGGTTCCCATGAGTCCAAGGGAACCATTCGTAATTAGGATGATTTAAAAGACAAAAATATGAACAGAGTTAAAAATACTTATTACCTAAGACTTGGGCTTTAAGCTTCCTCAAAGCTTTAGAAATAGTGTACGCTAAGTACGGGTCATTCTAGCCCCGTTACAGGTGGCGGATAGTGCACGCGTTCAACGAATTGAATGCTGCAACGATACCAACTCAAACGCCGATACCGAGGAAGGATATCATAATAGATGGTATGGCAAAGAGTATCATCTTTTCATCCATAGTTTTAATCGATGGATTCTATCAGATCCTCATGCGTGAACGGGATATCCCTTACACAGCAGTGAGCGCCCCCAGTGGTATGCTCTGGGAGTGGCTAGTGAGGCCACAAGGACCAAGTAACGCTTCCGCAACGTTTAACAGCTGTGTTACAAATCTGTTGCGATCGTTGCGCGAATTCGCACCGATTTATCTCGAGGATGTCTTCGTCCATAGCCGGGCTATGGATGGAAATACGAACGTGGGGATCCATCGAATCCACGCCCGAATTTTTTACATTCTAATGCGCCAGCTTAAGTTGTTCGCGAACCTCAAGAAGTGTACATTCGCAACGTACGAAATGCCACTTCTTGGCTGCATCGTGGGTAAAAACGGTGTACGCCCTGATACGGAAAAGATCAAGGCGACTAGCGACTGGCCTGTGCCAGTCGACGTCAAGGGACTTCGAAAGTTCCTTGGCTTGGCAGCGTATTTGCACAAATACTCGCGCAACTATGCTGAGATGACTGTTCATCTCTCTCGTCTGCTACATAAAAACGAGAGGTGGTCATCGAACGCTAAGTGTCACGGAGGCGAAGCGAAAGTCGCAAGCATGTTGTCGCTAGCACGGCTCAGCTGTATCTACGGTGGTTAAGCGCAGCAAATGGAGAAGGAGCTGTTTGAAATGTGGCGGGAAAGGGAATGGACGATCGGTATTGTTGTCAACATCCAAAGGAAACAGTTAAATAAGGTACGTCCGCGGGCATATATAGTGAGCCTCCACCAGCATTCTTTTAACGGGATCAAGAAAAGCTTGGTGCAATCGCGTGTGTTGGCGATTGCAGATCAGGATAGGCCATTTCATGTGGTCTGTGACGCCAGCAATTTTGCAATAGGCTGCGAGTTAATGCAGTACGACTCAGACGGCGTTGAGTGCGTCGTCTGTTATAAACTGCGTCAGCTGCAAGAAGATGAGCGCAATTGCCCAGTGCATGACGAGGGACTCCTTGCCATGAAATATGCACTGGCTAAGTTTAGGGTATAGTTTTCAGGAGGTAGGTCCTTCATCATTTATATCGAACATGCGTCTTACGCACGGCCGTAAAAAGTCCACACCTCTTGCAACGAATGGCGAGGTGGCTGTCTTTCTTCGCGAAGTACAACTTCTCCGTCGAGTATAAACCAGGACGACTTTGTGTCGTCGCTGATGCTCTTTCGCGTCGGCCCGATTTCGAGCCGACTTCTCAGCCCCACAGTAGGGGTGATCCCACTGTAGCGACTCTAACGGTGAGTGTTCCGTCGTCGAATCTGCTCGAAGATGTGCGGAAAGCATACTCAGAAGTTGAGTCTATTCTGCGGTTGATGGATTACGTATCTAATCCATGTAAACAAGCTTTGAAAGGCTTGACGTCTCAATTACCGCTTTTCAAATGAACGGTATCCGGTTCGTGATGTAATGCTGTACTACAAAGCCATCATCGGCGACACACCTCGTGTCGTCGTTCCGGCTCATTATAATTTGAGATTGCGCATCATCGTGAGTGTCACGATTCCCCAGCTAGTAAACCTCGCTGTAGAGAAAAGGCTCACCTCACTGTAAGTCGTGCCTTCTAATGTCCCCGCCAGTATGAGTTCGTGCGAAAATACATTCGCGCTTGCGAAGTTCGTCAACGGGTGAAGCCTAGTCCTTCATCCCGTGCACCCTTACAGCCTCTTTCGATTCCGGCAGAGTGTTGGCAGTCCGTATCGATGGGCTTCGTCTTTGAGTTTCTTAAAAGACGTTTGCAAGAATACTGGTATTCTTGCATCTGTTGATCGGTTAAGCAAGATGGTGCATCTTTTTACTGTACCGGAGTCAATTACAGCCTAGGGCTGTGCTTGTGTCTTCATCGATACCATCTTCCCACTTCGCGGATTACCCCGTGAACTAGTGTCTGAAAAAGACCCCCACTTCACAGCGGAGTTCTGGCAATCCGTGTTCCGTTCACTAGGAACACGTTTGAATAAGTCGACTTCTTATCATCCAGAAACAGATGGTCCGACAGAACGCTTCAACCGCGTCCTTGAAGATATACATCGATGGTACGTCCACTCGTTTACGAGTTGGAGCGAGCTCTTGCTGACGGCGGATTCACCATCAACAACTCGGTGCACGCGTCGACAACGCTCACACCGTTCTTCGTGAATGGCCTACGCCATCCACGTTTATCCGCCTTCTTAGAGTGTGACTGTAGTTTAAGGGGGGGTGGACTCGCTCGAACAGCAATCGACCTGATTCTTGCTCATCACCCGTCGACAATGGTATCGACGTGATGGACGCCGATGTCGATGCGATCGACATCGACATCGATGGTGATGATGACGACGGTGCTGGTATTTTCAGCATCGCCAATGACTGCCAAAGTGAGGACGAAGACGCCCTCATTGGTGAAGACAACGTTCTTTCAGCAGTGCACACGAAGTGCACTGCTGTTGACAAGGATGAATCAGCAGAGGAATTTCTGCTGACTCGCGAAGCGGTTGTCCGCTTCGTTCGAGACTCTGTTGCAGATGCACTAGACAGACAGAAGAGAAATGCAGACAAACATGGAAGAGCAAATGTTCTTTCATTTGATGAAGGAGACCTAGTTTTACTGTCCACATTAAACTTACCGAAACACGCAGTGACAAACGTGGGCAGCAATAAATAACTGCCCAGGTATCGGTCCATTTTGTGTGTTTCACCGAATAGGCAACGCAGACACGATTGAACTGCCCCGTAAGATGGGTACGTATCCTACGTTTTACGCTAAATGTCTCCGCCGGTACTATCAGTACGAGCCTGTATCGAAAGGTGAAGAACACCTCCGCGGTCGAATGCAGAGAAAACCTTCGAGTGGTCCCGTTTTTAACGAGCTAGTCTGGTCGACTAGCAAAGCGACCTGCTCACCGAGATGAGCGATGTCCTGACGAGCTGCAGTCAGCTCGTCACAAAGAGAGCCAGTTGAACTTTCATTTTCAAGTTGTGCAAACACAAACGCGGAATGATCATTAAAACGATCGTGCGCTAAGGAATTGCAATTATCCTTTACAACGACATGAAGCTAATAACGCCGAGTCGTTCATGAGCCAAGTCATCTTGCAACTTTTCCGGTACACGGTTCAGATCCTGAACATTAAGCTTATCCGACTTTCGATCCGGATTAGGTGTTACCGCCGCCACCACATCCTTTGGTGGATTCTGGCGGCTGTCAACGATTCCGGTGGAGCGTATCTTAAACCACCGCAACTTGAAGGGCTTAAGACGAGTTTCATCGTTCTTTAGCGTGGCCATCCACCGGTCTAGGATAATAGGGCGCGAGTCGCCCAGCTGGTTGTTTAATTTTCTGGGTCTCGTCGAGCAATGTGACGAGACCCATCCGCTGCGTTCAAAGAAGGGACGAAGAAAAAAGACCTCCCCGAATGCGAGTACAGGGATTGCAAAGTGTCGATCCCTTCGACCATCTCAGAAGAGATGCGCACCGTCCATTAGGGATAACTAGGGAGGGAGGCCTCCCCAGCGGCACGGTTCGATTTGTCCAGGAAACCTGGACACGAATTACCCCGCGAGAGACAGGGCAATCGTGCTTCTCTTGACAGTCGGTGCAACTTGTATCGTACACCGACTAGGTAAGCTTCTCATAACTGATGCGAGCCGAATCAAGTTTACCGAGCCAGGCCTCACGGCCAATGCACTCGATGTAATGGATGGAGGCATTCCATACTTGCACCATCCGTCTCGACCACGGTTTTCATTGTACAACCGACTTTTGAAAAACGCATCTTAAAACAATTTTTCCTCAGCACGGATACTTTCCGTGCTGGAATTAGGTGAACAGATCCTCCTACAGTCGAACAACGGCATTCCATCTCGTTCGTTGGTCATACCGACCAATCGGTCTAACCTTTTGGATGACGAAATCCTAGTGGAATCCGCTTGAGATGGGTGGTGCAAGATATTTCGGTCTCTGGCCTCGTGGGTGGTATCAGCATGAGCAATGACGCCAGCGGCAGCTCGAACTCTTGAGTTGTTTCTCGCGTGGTGATACTTTGGGAATCCACCACCATCATGACGCGTCCTATCGTTGGATGGACTCGCGTGAGGCGACGATGTGTCAAACGAATGACTCGGTCCGAAGATCTCAGACATGATGCCGCCACGTTCCCCAGAGCCAGTCAAACTGGCTCTTGCAGTGCCCGCCCCGAATGATCCAGAGGCTTAAGGTGTCTCCTTCGAGTGGTATGCGTCATCCATCTCGCCAGAAGAGATGATCTCTATTTCGGGCTCATCTACATTGCAAGTCGCAGTACCCACCGCAGACGCAGCGGATGTATCTGTCACACGTGGTGACTCACCACATGGACTATTCACAACAGGCACTGCCTGTTGCTCACTTGCTAAAGCAGGCAAAGTATCATCTGCTGCTGAAGCAAGAGAATTACTCCCTTCGCCTGCACGCATGCGTGCAACCGCCTTTCTTGCTGCTTCGAAAGCGCACCGCATAGACTTTGACACCATGCGAAGAATTAGCAAATGAGTTAGGATTGAAGAACAAGTGCCCCTTTCCCAGAGTAATCTTACGGTGATCACCCTGTAACAATCAGTTAAATTAAAACAACGGGATAATTGATACTTAAGGGATGGTGATGTAACGGGGTAGTCTTTTACATGATATTGACACCAAACGGTGTCAATAGGGAGATCGTCTAGCGTGACAACATCCTGCCAATTTAATTCAAAATGATTTATCTTGAAGGATGTTATTTCCTTTAAGATTAATACTCATGCGCCGCTCAAAGATTGGCTGATAATGACATATTGACCAAGATTAGCACTAATCGCCGCTAGAAACGCGTGATGAGTGGTGAGCAGGTTGTCGTCATACGACGGCGTAGTTTAATAAAAGTAGATAATGAATGAAGTTGTATTAATAGTTCAAAAATATAAAGTACAGTGCTCTTTTACCCCTTTACTAAAACTAGCTGTTTGAGTAGAATACCTTCCTCTGCACGTAGTAGTGTACGTGAAGTTTGCCTGGCACCCCAAACAAAGAGTACCCCGTTGATTGAAAAACAAATCAACAACGACAAGGGAAGCGCTAAAATGAAATTATTAACATGCTGCAGATGTACATTGTTGTCACCCTCGTTTTCGCTGGCGAGCGCTCACTATCAGCGCCTTTAAAAACTTAACTGTTTAGAAAATTTGCTAAGCAAACAAGAATAAGGGAGATAGTAATTTTAGCTGATCTTAAGGTTCTGTCCGGGTTCTCATTTTTTTAGCTCATAAACAAATGGGATTGCTTAGCGTGAGCCTTAAAGCTATTAAATAAACTTTAATTCGTGCTACCATTTTTAATTACTTGTGTGCATTTGTAATTACGCATTTTCTATTTTCCTTAGCTTGAATTCCGCTCATCATCTCAACCTAATGCAAGTGTTAGTAGAAAGATTTGAAGGTTCGATGAATATACATGAATACTTTTCCACTTTCTGTCTGCTAGACAAGTACCTGAATTGAAGTATTCTGACTGAATTGTAGCTATTGTAGTTCTTTTACTGTGGTACGAGTGCGTGTTAAAATCGCGAGAAATTTAGAGCGAGAGCATAGCATAATTATCATTCCACCCTCTATATTTTTAAGATTCACCCGTTGTCTTACATTCCATAAAAATGTCATGATCCGAAACCGATCTGATTCCTGGACGAGAGCACGGCTTCGCTTTCTAGTCTTGTATTGTTCGATGCATGCTTAAGAATGTAACGGATGGTGAGCTTCCATCTCCTGTAAGATCAATTGCTATGGCTCACCTGTTATAAAAGATGGCTACTGGAGACCTTTTCTTATTCCAGAAAAATTTCTAGAAGATTCGAGCAAAGGTAGAGAGTGATGAGTTTCGAGTTGTGTGTATTTTGACATATTTAACAATTAAAATTTACTTCCTTGTTTTTACGTTCAAAATTTTTTATGCAGCCTCTGCCTCTTTTTACACAGGATACGTTGTCGCTTGCCCAAATTATATGGGAACTCTCGCCTACCGTGGAAACGGAAGAGAAGCTGTCAACAACAATTCTAGCATGAGGTTAACTTTTTTAACAACCGAACTCTAGATCCACCCGGAACACGCATGGCAGTACGTAGCTACCGCACCTCAAGCGCTAGAGGATGGTGAAGAGTGAATGATGTGACAAATCTGTAGCCGAACAAGCATTCCGACATGTAAGCGGTAACTAAAGTGTACGTTGGGACGATAAAAAGTTTGAATAATACCATTGTAATACACAACCAGGCTTAGTAATGCACGAAGTATAAATTACTAATTCATTATGTGGTGATTACACGCGCGCGTCTTGACAGGTGGTTAAAAACTTGCGATGTAACGGTTTTATAGGTGTACTTAAAAGAATTAAGTTGGCTTATCCTAGCAAAGGATATCGCGAAGGAAGTCACTACATAGAACATCATTGAATATTTCTTTACTTCGACTAAGCGCCTTTGAGCGTAAAATTTCATTTGAAATAATAGCCTCAGCTTCAAGTAGATCTTATTTATTGAAGTTTGTTACGGCGTCAGAATCTGATACCCTTCTCAGCGTTCAAGCCAAAACGATTGTAGCAAAAAAACCGGTACAAAGTACGCAGGGGTCAACTTCTTCGACAAAGCTTGTGCGCTTTTTTGCGTAGACCTAAAACTGGTTTCGTTTAGTCTTTTTAAAGATACCAGCATTAAAAACAAGATTTAAAAAAAAACTCTGTATAGCGTTCAACTAATTGTTTATAATATTGATAAAATTCTTAATTAAAAAAAATAAAAAAATTAAATTTTATTTAAAAGGTACGGGCTTAGGTCGACATAACGTTTAAAAAATTAAAAAAAAATTTAAAGTAAAATATATAATTGATCAAACACCACAACCTTTTAATGGTTGTAGACACCCACGAAATTGCCCACTCATTCTCAAAAGTTCGAATGGTATGCAAAGGGCGCCTTGGTGCTTCTTCAAGTGGACAGAGGAACCAAAAATGCTTATAAGGAATAATGAGTACGCTCACATCTCTGTGTTTCCTTTCTTCTTATCAGATTAAAAAAATTATGCATTCTAAAATTTTGTCAAAATGTGGCACCTTACGCTTACACCGATGAGAGTGTAAGACATTTAAAACGATGACGTGTTAAATACTAACATCTGACGTATTGTATGGACCATAATAAAATGCATAACATCGTGTTTTTAGAATACTGCCCTAATTCAGCAAAAGGGCATTTTCCATTCAATCCGTGCCTCGCTAGAATGGTTGGCAGCGGTTGCGCGAAAAAGCCCATATCGATCATACCGACTTGTACTAAATTAAGTGCATCATTAAGAGGTGCTGGCATCCTTTACCCATTTAGTGATGCCAAGACCAAGGATATGTCAACCAAGAAGTTTAAGTAAATACAACCTTGTCATCTCCACAACCTAAACCATCTTATCCGTGCAACGGGGTAAATTCTTACTACATGACTAGTAGTTCCCTGTACTGCATATAGTGCAGAGGTACGTGCTACAAATTATAAGTGAACTGTACGTACAAAGGGGGAATTACTTTAGTGAAGATTTGCTTCGATTAGAGAAGAATGTAATACTGAAATTACCACTATTTACGTCCTCATCATTGCATGTATTTGATC